CTTTGGGTTACTCTTCAGTCTTATCTGTAATATTTTCTCATTTAAGTTGTTTGTTCATTGACAAAAGGAACAGTGTATTTTGAAGGGTCAGGTCAGGTATTTTATAGTGCCCTTCAATTTGGGTTTTACTAGCATTTTCTCAGATTTACAGAGAGTTATGGATTTGAGGAAACAATATCACAAAGGTGAAGTGCCCTTCTCATCACATCATATCATGAAATACATGATGTCAACATGACTTATCTGCTGGTGTTAACCTTGATCACTTTGCTGAAATAATGTCTGCCAGTTTCTCCAAAATAAAGTTAACATTTTCCCCTGTACAGATTCTCTTCTTTAAGAAGCAAGTCATTAAAGCCAGTCTATACTCAAGAGGAGAGAAGTCAATCACCATATCCTAGAGGGAGCAGTAAAGAATTTGAGGACATATGCTAAAACGACCACAATAGTTAGTTAATAAATATTATGGAGGTTATGCAAATATTCTGTTTAACCTTAACGTTTCCTCTATTTATTTTAACAGTGATTAGTAGATCTTTCATGTAGCAGTTTTCACTATTATTTTTCATATTGCATTCTAATGGTGATTTAGGACAGTATCTTTTATTTATTTGATATTTTGCCATTCTTTGTCCAGCATGAAACTAAACATCAAGTAAATAATCAATAAACACTTGTTAAGTATAATTTAATTTTAAGAAACATTTTTGTGAAATAAGATAATGAAAGGTGGATAAGTTCAAGGCAAATATGTATTTTGGCAGGTGTGCCATTCTTATGTCATACGCTTGATTAATGCAATGGATATAGAAACAAAAAGAACTAATTACCTCACCTCTACTAAAACTGGGAGAAGTTCCTGGAGAAAGGAGAAAAATAATAATAGTTGTATAGGGCCTTAGAGTTTACCAAGCATACTCACATTCATCATTTAGGATTTTAGAAGCCCTCTGAAGAGAAAATCTTCAGGAGGTGAAGATTTTAAAAAAAACAACATTTAAACTTGTGGAAAGGCACTATTAAGTCAGGAATTGGAAAGTTAGGCATAGAAATTACATAACACTAACAAGGAAAAAGCACAGCTAAAAGCAAAGAAACAGATACAATAAAAAAAATAGTGTGGGTCGAGTGCAAGGCTTTAAACAAGGTGGTAAAGTTGATTTAATGCAGAGCATGAAACCAAGACAACTTAGACAGCCAAAGATAAAGAATACATGGTTAAAATAATCAAGAATGTCATTAAACTAAGCATTAAGAGCAGACTTCATGGGAACATGCATTGAAAGTGAAAAATGAATATAATATTCATTCATTTCTCCATTGGTCACCTCCATTTTCCTGGTGACTTTAACAGTGCCTTTAACCTATTATGAATCCAAAAATATTTGCTTAAGTTCTACCATGTGTCTTACAAAATACTAGACATTTTGGGATACACCATAATTACATATTATCCCTTCTTATAAAGAATGTGCATCCTAGTTGGAAAGGTAAAAGAAACAAACATGTGTGTAAAGTTAAAGAGCAAAACAAGGCTGAAGGGGCCAAAAGAAAAGCATAAAGAGTTAAAAGCTTCAACAGTCCAGACAAAGAAGAGACCATTATGGAATGCCCTGTTCAGGAAAGACTTTGTGAAAATGAGGGGCATTTGCAATAGGCCTTGAGGAATTGGGCAGAGTAGGAGTGAGATGTGAACAAAGCCAAGAGAAAGGCATTCGAAGCAGAGATATACCAGCTGAACAAAGGTATGGCGTTGAAACAGTGCTTTAAGAAGACAGTGAAATCAACTAGGGTTGTAAAGGTATATGAAAATATAAGGTATAGGAGGTAAGCTGAGATTGAAATGTAAAAAGCTTTGAATGCCAAGTTGAAGAGTTTGAAGATTTTCTGTAAGCAATCTAAAAATAAAGTTTTTTGAGCAAGAGTGGCATGATACACCTGAAACTAATATGATACATGTTTGATACATGTTTGATAATTGATACATCAATTATAATTGAAAAACAAACAAAAAATTTAAAGAATGACATAATGAATGTGACATTTTAGAAATACTAAGCTAGCTTTTGATGTGCATAATAAATGGTATACATCTTAATTAAAGATATGGTTATGGCAGTAAAGAGACAGGTATATAAAGAAAGCACACTGAATATGTAACAAAGAAGGGCAGCGTGGAGCAAAATAAACTTACGAACAAAAGATTAATGCAAGATTTCTTTGTTGGGAGCAAGTAAAGCATAACATCACAGAACAGAGAGGAAGTTAGGCAAAGGCTAAGATTCCAAGGTATGAAGAACAATCCAATTTTTATTTCCTCCATCATCACCATGTTTGTATGAAATTTAAGTTGTCTAAGCATAGAGTGTATTTAAAAAGTTAACAAAGAAACTCCCAAAGTGATAAACAGTGGCTTTAGAAAGAGAAAATGCAGTTGCATTAAAGTGCTTAAAAGGTACTTGGAAAATACAAGACACATGAGTTTCTGTTATTATACAACATTATGGTTAAGTCAGTATATCTTTTTTAAATAAGGTACTTATCCTTAAATGTCGTTTACTAAGAACACCTAATTATTTTAAGATGCTCATGATGATAACAATTATCAGTGAATGAAAAGTTAACGACTAAAGTATAATTTTTCAAAATTTCTGAGACTATACCAAAGACAATTTTGCCTTGAATTCTGCAATGCAATATGCAACAACAAAGACAACACGGGTGATTTAAGAATATGTAAGCATCAAAGGGCAGAAATAGGTCATTCCCACTCTCTTTAACTCTGCTAAGGCCTCAAATACTGATATAGTTCAGAGCATCTTATTACCACAGAGACATAAATCAAAAGGAGTTCAGCTAGGAGCAATAAAACAGATTAGTGTCTGGAAGGGCAGACTTTAAAGAAAGTTTTAAAAGAATTAAATCCAGGTAGTCTAGATAAAAATCAGCTATGAGGATATCTTTTTTTTGAAGCTGACACACCAAGGTCAGAAATTACTTAGAATGTAGAAGTCTAAAAAATATAAAAGTAATCATAAATATTTACAAAACATTTTTATTTATAAAGGGAAATCTCAGGATGAATTTGCTGGCAAAAACCTATGGGAAAGAAGAATTCCCTCCCACAGAAGTGGTGAAAACTCTATTCCTGGAGATATTTAATGCCAGGTTGGACAAAACAAGAAAAGGACTCCATATGGAATAATCCTGTACTGGCCCCTGAAGTGGTGGGAGGATTAAAGATGATCTCTTAGATCTTTTCCAACTCTGATTTTTTTTTTAATTCTGTGAAGTTTTATGGGCACAGCCTTTTGCCAATTTCCTTTCTTCCCATGATATGCCCACTTTCTCCTTTTACAAAAGGAAACAAATTGTATCCTTCATTTGAAGATGAGCTCATGTTCTCAGTGAATCATAAATATAATTCTAGGTACAAGTGTGGGAGAAAAAGGCCAATTCCTATAACTTATAATGGTCATTTTTTCTTTCACCCCAGTGGTTCCTGGGGCTCTTACAAGTTCTCCTACAAACTAAGGAAGTATTTCAAATGGATTCAAAGAAGAACCGTTTCATCAGGAAAACATTAATATTTTCCGTTCTTGTGTCTGATCTCAGAGCTGACAGTGACCCTGTATGCTATAAGGTCCTGGGTCAAATTACCAAAAAAGATGCTGTTCAGGATTATCTTTTACCTTTCAGCATTTCATGCTGAGTGACAGCAAAATCTACTTGCAATCTACTTTTTGTGGTAATGACATTTATTTACCTCTGAAAAGATGTAGCCTGAAATACCTACACACTTTGGCAAGTGTTTTAAAAGAGGAAGTCCTATTCACACTTCAAACTGAAGAAACCTCAGCTTTCTTTGCTCTCTTTCTCCATTCTGGCACTTAAAAAAGGGGGGGGGGGCTTCTCAGTCACCCTTGAAATAAATCCCAATACCTCTCTAGAATTCACATTCAGTGAAAGCCCCAGAAAATACAACTGCATTTCCTCGTTTTCCTGATTTATAAGGACAAGATGTAACAAAATCCAGGCAGTGCTGAGAAACTGTCCCTGAACCCTTTGAAAATAAAACTGTAGCTCACTTATGAGAAGGAACAGCAGGACAGAGATAGCTGTCCAAGAATGGACACCAATGTCTCTTCTATCTAATCTAAACAGCTTCAATGACTGAGGAGCCACCAATGCCTACCTTGCCTGTATGAAGAAAGTATGTTCCTTTACCCACACAGAACGTTCATAGGTATTAACACCAAACGCTCTAAATAAATTTTTTAAAATACCATTTTCATTTTTTCCCTAGTTAAAATACCTAAAAAGATTGGCTTCTCACACTGGAATAGGATTTGTAGTTTTCAAAGCCTGATACTTAACTCATCTGATGCTAGCAGAAAAGAAGGCTGGCATTTATAATCCCATTTTTAAATGAAAAAAAATGCGACTCTGAGATTAGGCGGTCTGAAGGAGAACCCACCATGGGGATTTTCAAACCCTCTCTAACAAGGGACCAATTTAAAGGGATTATTCCAAAACACTTGAGAGTGGGTTTCCAAAAAAAGCTGGATCTTGTCTCAGGAAAGCAAGAAATAAGAAAAACAATACCTACTTTTTTCTAGAATTTTAGTAATGAAACATAAGCCTGGCCTTTTGGAACCTATGAACTTGCCTGTATTTTTTCAAGAAACCGACTGCAACTTCTCCCCACAGGACTAGCCTAACAGAGGGTTTGACTATCAGTTAATGGCCTCAGAACTCAGCGGCCCAGTGGAAGACCAGCAGCGGGGACTAGAACTACCTTACCTGGGAGCCCCCTTGGCGTAATCAAGTCAGGAGTCCCACCACTGGTGTGCCCTTGCCTGCAGCTACCAGCTTTTCAGAGGAGCTTCTACGAGGCTCTCCTCCAAATCGCCCCCCCCCCCCCACACACACACACCCACTGCTCGTTCCCACTCCCCAAACTTCCCCCACCGTGCAAGAATGGGAAGCAAGTTTCTCACCATCCTCGTAGTTTTTGAGATAGTAATCCGGGCCGGGCCCCCCGCGGCTTTTCGCCGGGTTCCTCAGGTTCTGGAACTGCAGGAAATCAGTCCGTTTGCCCCCAAAGCGCAGAAAGGCGGGCGAAAGTCCCCGGGCCAAGGTCACCAGACGCTTGGAGCTGCAGGGACAGAGAAAGAGAAGAAAGGATCCCGAGGGGAGGCGGGAGGCCGTGGAGCACCCATTAAGGCCCTCTTCCCACTCTCTGCGGTCGACCCGGCCAAGGCTCGGCGTCCGCCCCAGCTCGCCAACTGCACGGGCTCCTGGCCGCTCCGGCCTCACGTGCGCCCGGTGCTCCTGGCCACCCTGCACTTGGCTGCCCGGCCCCCGGGGGCTATGCCTCCTGCGCTCAGCCAGACAAGGCCCCCTCCCACAGACACCCCGACGCTGCTCACCAAATATACTTATTTCCAGAGGGTTAGACTGTGTTAACTGTGTGTATGAGGTGGAGGGTGGGGGCCCTTCTGAGATCAGGGGGCTAAGGCGCAATTGCCCTGTTCTGCCACTGCGGGGAAAGCGCTCCTGAAGTAGACGCGCAGCGCGGACCGCAGGACTCCGACTTGAAACCAGAGATCTGCCTCCTCGGCCCCAGAGCACCACAACCTCAGTAGAGAAGGTGAAACCTGTATTTTTTCTCTCAGACCAGGCACCTGAGGTCAAGTTGATTCTTTGTTTTTTAATGCCAAAGTTAAAAGTTCCCTTTTCCAACACTTTGTAGAAACCGCATCCATCTCTTAAATCCCTGTGCAAGAGAGCTTCCCCGGGTAAATCCTTGCCTTTATGCGAATACTTCCCATCCCTGTCTTGCACAGTAAAGGCAATGTCTCTTTTGACCCCTGGAGCTATTCAGGCTGATCTCAGAAAGGTATCATTCTTCTCTCCACCCCCTGAATCGGGCTCCATCTTTTCTCCTTCACACTTGGGGTCATTTGGAAGCGATGAGGAAAGTCAAGTTTGCCGAAATGTGGGCCGTCCGCGTCGGAGGAAACTGGAGGAGCACCAGAACAACAGCATTTACCCCTACTTAGGTTCAGGATTTCCATAAATAGTTTTGTTTTTTTAAAACCAAGCGCTGCTACTTCGGAAAGGGGCGGAAAGGGTAATGCAGATGCTCAGTGCTAAGGGAATCAGCTGTTGAGTTCCAGATCTGTAATTTATTTTTAACGCTTTGCTGGTTCAGGTTCTTAAAATCCACACCCAAATGGAGAAACTAAAGAGTATCATAAACGCGGTGAATAAGGGAGAAGAAAACAACCGCAGATTGCACTCAGGGACTGCCTAAGCAGCCCGGCCGCCCGGGGCAGTCCCGTGGCGGAGGACTCCAGGACTGCGTTCCAGGGCGGCGCGTGGGCCCTAGGCAGGCAAAGACGTCCGCGCGACTCCAGCCCCGCGGAAACGGCGTTTCCAGCAACCGACCGTCCGGAAGCCTCCACAGCCAATGCAAATGCGCCCCGCCACGGCTTCTTCCCCCAATGCCGCCTTCCAGAATCTTTTCTGTGGCAAGCATTTGGCATGAACAGGATGGTTTTTTAAAAAGAATCCTTCAGGAGTCCGCGCAGCTGAAGAAGTACAATGCAAGGGGGGCTTGTATTTCGGCAAACCCCCGTTGCCCCCACCTGGGGACGAGCTCAGAGACGGGCTCTGCTTCACTGAAGAGCTTCCAAGGAGGACACCGGGCGGCGCGGAGCTGTTCCCGCCCTCCCACCGGGGGCACGGGCAGCAGCCGAAACAGCCTCGGCGGCGGCAGCAGCTCAGCCCTCACGCACTGTTGTTTCACGTGGAAGGGGCGCCGCGTGTTGCGCCTCCTGCTACCTGCCGCGTCCGCTGAACGGGCAGAGACCCGGGGAGACTCAGAAGGCTGAGGGGCGGGCGCACGCGAGAAGCAAACCTCTAATTTCGCAAGGAGTGAGAGATATTCACGAAAGACACGACACGCGGTGGACGCGGCCTCAGGGAGGAGAAATGGGACTGGGAGCGCTCAGGACTTTTTAGGAGAACCCACTGCTGAGGCTCCAATTTGGAGCGAATTTTTAAAAACTCAACAATTGGATTCGACATTGCAGACGATTTCTTCCCCCCACCCCCACCCCACCCCTTTTCTTTTTAACTCTGCAACTCTACCCCTGATGGGAATGGATCGTGGTTGCCTAACTGCTGAACATTTACGATGGGGGGAGAAGGTGAACACAGTTAGATTCCAAGCCCTAGGGTAAGGGGGTCCGTGAGCACAAACCTCCGGGTTTGCTAATCCACCAGTGCTGGGTTCAGACTTCCAAAACATCCCCGGAGTATTTCTAGAATCCTTTCCGCTCTCCTTATATACGCCATGACCCGAGCGAGGATTTTTTTTTTTTTTCTTTAAAGAAAAACTAAACTGTGCAGTTACCGCAGGAGATTTGAGGAGGAGGGACTGGGGGGGGCCATTTGGTCTATAAAAAAGCGTCTTACAAAGTCCTGAAGTCTGGAGACGACAGTTGACCATATATATAAAATAAAAGTTTAAAAATCCGACCCAATTTACCCACCGCTCAAGCCTTTGCTTAAATTCGTTTTCCGTCCGGGAATGGGAGAAAACTGACGATACTATCTTTACGTGGAAAATTCCACTTTCATGCGATTCTCCGCCTGAACACTCACAAACACACGCAGACACGCGCTCTTTCTCTCGCTCTCTCTCTCTCTCTCTCTCACATACACACACACACACACACACACACACACACACACCCATTCTCTCGGGTCTTTGTTGCTCGAGACTTTTTCTTCATTTTTATAACTGCCCTGACCCTCTTGTTTCTTTTTCAGAAGATGGGGAGGCTAATTGTGGGTATATGTAAGCACAACATTTTTTCAGTCATAACTGATAAGTTTCTGAAATGCCTTCTGCATTGCAAACATGTGCATCTTAATAGAAAACACTGCTTTTCTCAATCACCAGTTACAGCCTTACAGCAAATATTCCAGGAGGAGGAAAACCTCCTTTCTTCTCTTTGAGAGATCCGCTTGGCTTATTTTCTTCTTCTTCTTCTTCTTCCCCCTTTGGAATGGGAGATAGGAAGGGGTGGGGGTTGTTACTTTTTTAAAAAATCCATCGAAGCCCCTGCCTTACCTTAAGAAATCGAGCCAGCCATCATGAATGATGGACGGATCCAGCTGCAGAGAGAGGAAGTTCTCATTGACTGTCTTGATTGGGTTCTTGGTGCTCACATCAAGTAGAATCAGAGTCTTTTCCTTCAAACCTGGAGCTCTGTCTACAGGCAAGGGTCTCCTGTCTCCAGCTTGGGAGGAAAGGAAGAGATGGAGCAACAGAGCCAAGAAGAGAGCCACCGGGGCTAGGCACGAGGGGGGGCGGGAGTTGCTGGAGGGCATGGCTTCAGGGAAGGCACAGAGCACCCTCATTAAATCCCTCTGATTTAAACCTGTCTTCCCACAGGGTCTCGCTGGTGACTAATTGTCCTTATCTAAAGTGTGTGTCTGTCTGCTATTCCCCCCCTTTTTTTCCTTCCTCCCCCCCCCCTTGCTCTTTCTCTCTTTTTTTCCTTTTTTTTTTTTTCTTCTCTGTTTTGGTGCTTGGTGGAGCGAACTCACGCCCCTAGCCAGCCTTCTCAGCGACTCGTGCCAAGAGTACTCGTTCACCAGCACCGCCCCTTTAAGAGATTTCGACTGCAGACATTTTTTAACTTTTTAAAGGTAAGGGGGTGGGTGGCGGGAGAGGCGGGAAGTAGGAGGAAGGGGTGGCGTTGTACCCTCCTGATTTAACCCTCTAGGGTCAGGAAGCAAAGGGAGGGATCGAAGCAATACTATTTTAAGTTTTAGGGCAAGGGTGGGCTGTCTTTACTTCCTTCCCTGCGAAGCTCTGGGGAAGTCCATTCTAGCTCCAGCCCCAACAGGAAAGCCCAGCGCCAGCCCTGGGCACGCTGGAGTAAAAGGTCCGCACCGGCATGCGCCTTTTTGTCCTGACAGCGTCAGGCTTTTCGCCTGCTCCAGACCCTTCCCTTTGGGTTGAAGCAGCCGAGCATGGTAGTTAAGTTGCAGATGGGGTCCTGATTCCCACAGCGACTGATTCCTGCCAAAGCACAGAGTGCAGAGGGAGACTCCATGGACGTAAATTGGAACCTCTGTGATGCACTCTGCAGCCACCCTGAAGCATCCTCTGACCTCGACAGGGCACAGAGTGGCGAGAAGGAATGCACACAGTGACCAAGTCAAAGGGCTTATTCTTCCGAAGGGGCATAAGGGTCCAAGCTGTGTGTATCTTCATTATGACTACAGCTGAAGTTGAAATATCTTGGGGACTTCAATTTATGCTGTTTTTAGCCAAGACAAATCAGCCTGGTCTGTGTTGGGTCTGGGTGGCACTGTGCCCATCTGAGCCACTGCTTGGCCACTCTAGTGCATAAGCACAGCCCAGTCTCGAGGTCAATCTTGGGCTTATAGCTGCTGTTGGGGAGGTGAGCTGTTATGGTGCCAGAGTAGAACAGAATGATTGTTGGGTTTTCAAATTCAACCTGAAGTCAGCCAGAAATCGCCCACAAGTAGGCCCCCTAGATGTGCAAGAACAGCTTGGAACCAGCTTCGCCTTGCACCACCTGCCCTGGTTCAGGGAGCAGGGACCCACAGCACCTCTCGACTCCAACCTTGGGTCTCAAACCAAAGCATGAAGTAAGGGCCAGCCCTAGTTTGTGCAGTCAGACCACTGGACCCCACTTTTAGCTTCTTTCTAGAACAAAACGGGCCTTCTACTTGACAGATTAAGAGAACTACTTTGTGTTGTGTGGGTATGCATAAGTGTCCCAGGGCATCCTGATATCAAAAAGCAGAACTCTAAAATGCAGATCAAAGGTTTTTCTCCAGGGGTGGTCTTGGAGCCCACAAACACTGCAATGGCCACCTGTCTCCCTTTTCCTACCCCCAGATAGGATTAAGGAATCTGCAAGGGGCTGGAGTAGATAACCTTCAACTTATGTTCCCAGAGGAGCTTCTACCAAACTAAGCAACCAGGAAATCCAGAGGTTATGTTGGGTTAGACTGGGAAGTGCCTCTTTCTAGAAGTAGGACTACATAAAATGAGGCCAAAGAAGAAAGAAAACCTAAGGCATATTATTTAAAGATGTTTTAAAAACCAAGAAGTTAAATACTGAAATATTAGATGTGAGTCTAATAGATGTGGTTCCCTGAGGCCTGCTTCTTTTCCTGAAAGTTTCTTCCACACCTAGATCCTTTAAAAATATGTGTGTGTTTCTGTGCACAGATGTGTGGTATGGTGTAAGTTCCAGTAGAAATTATTGTAATTTTAAAATGTGCACTGAGCACCTCCTGGAGATGGTAACAGCCTGGTGAGCAAATATTTTATTTTGTATCTTCAGACCCAGGCACGCACTTAGTAGGCCCTCAATAAATGTCTGTAAAATAAATTAATGGTAAATCAAAGCATGCTCAACACACTAAAATCATATACTGCCCTCTAGAAGAATGAAGAATACTTTTATTTGTCACGGTAAACTTTGTTTCAGGTTTCTGTTCAGTAACTTGTTTCCCCAGTTATGAGCATTTTCCTGATCACCTCCTCCAGGAAATACTTATCTTGCAAATTCAGAAGTAATTACCACCTTTTCTAATTCATAATTAAAACCAAGGAGACGGATTTTCCAAGGGCCTAGAAAACAACCCCTGGTTTACAAGTGAATGTACTTTTAGAAGCCACATTAACTAAGACCAGAAGAAGACCACTTGAATGAAATAAAGAAATCACTTCACCCACTATATACTGTATCTATAAGCAATTTACCTTACCTTGTGACTAAGGATGAACTTGGATATAATGAGAATGTGCTTAATCATGAATTTTAACCACAACGTTTGCTTATTGACCAAATTATTCTGTAATTGTTTGGTGGTCTAATTACTTTAACCAGTATTTAATATTTTCACCAGAACCTGTATGTAATAGAAAAATAAAAGCCAACAAGACAAAGTGCTTTTTTCTTAATTTCTGATTAAAGTCATCTTTCTAGTGTAACCACTGAAATTCTATAGTCATGTCCAGCCTCAGGACATTGAGGCAAAGAAAGCAATTCAATAACATTTAAGGAGTTCCAGATAGTTCTGGTTGACTCAGATATGACCTGATTGTTTGGTTCTTTGGTTTAGTTTGGGTATAGATCTGCACAGGTCTACTCTTTCCAAATACCACCCATTCCCAATATCATGGTTTTTGTCTTGCCTTCTATCTAACCCTAAATTATATGCAGTAAATAACTCATTATTAATCTGTATATTAAGATTGATATTTCTATCCTACCCTCTTTGTGCTGCTGGGGGACAACAATCTGCCATCTCTGTTCTGTCTTAGTTTGTCATTTCCTAGGGGACAGCAATTGGGCCTCAGTATAAAATATTAATTACTGGGAAGTAGACACATTGAAGTCTCCTTGGAAATGTTCTGCCTGGTGTTGCTAAATGGTCTTTACAGATAAATTCTTTTGATATCTAGGAGTCTAGTTTCCCAGACCTGTAAGAAATCTTGAAGATTAACTGGTTCAGTGATTTCTAGACTATGAGATTTCAAAATAAATATTAATGAGGAGAGCTGACGTATCTGCTAACTTTTTATTTTGTCTAGTAAGGACCTTAAAAAAATTAACTACTTATCACTATTACTTCCCAAAAGAACATTTGAACAGCCAAAAAAAGCTGAAATTATATGTGAAAATAGAGCAAGTGTTTATACTGAATACATTTAGTTCATGAAAAATCACTATAATATTTTATCATTTCATTTCAGACCAGTGAAAATATGCCAGTCACCAACATGCGTACTAGGACTGGTGACTGCAACTAATAATATATCATGTGTGTATGGCCAAATTCTACTTTGTAGCCTACAGTGTTGCTGTAATATGTACACACTTTTTCTTGATGGTCATCTTGACTACAATAATTTCTTTCCACTTTACGTATGCTTTTTTCTCTCACTTTTAGCCTGTCACAAACTCTTTAACTCTACATACCACTTTTCATTCTAGTAAACATTCAAAGCCATAATTATTGCTATGCCTGTCTTCTTCTTCTGAGAAAACTATACCTAGGTATCTGATAACAAGAAAAAAAAATTTTCTACAAAAACTGGGATTGGGAAGCATGAAGCTATAGCAGCCAGTCCACTGTCTGATCACTGGCTATATGCTTGTCCATGATGACTGCTATTTATTGAAGTCTTGTGGTCCATGCATGATGCTCTGGGCTATACCAATTTTTATTAATTAGTTTTCTTGAATAACTCTGACAGGTGGATATAATTTATTATTACACCTAGTTTACATTTAAGAAAATTGAGACACAGAGATGTTAAGCAACTTTCTCATGGTACACAGCGAATAAGTGGCAGCAAGGATGGAAACCCAGGGATGCTTGATTCCAAAGCCCATGTCTGTGTTCTTAACCACAACTCTCCACTGTAAGTGGCTAAAATAATACATACCCTCAAACAACCTGTCAATATATAATGGGGAAAAAAAACAATTTTGACTAGGACTTGTAAGACCTGAGTTTGCCAGATCCCAGCTTTGTGACCTTGGGTAAATTTTTAAAGTGTTCTAAGCCTCAGTTGCCTACTCTGTAAAATTAATATAATATCCCAGAGCAGAATAGAATAAGATGATATATAAAGTACTTTATAAATTCTAAAATATTATGCCAATTGTGCTATTTGTTTCATGTTATTTCTTATTCCCTCTCTCCCACACTTGCCACAAATATATCCTGTCAATTGGTAACTGGGACAAGAATTAAATTATATAAAAATAACTCTGTGATAACCTTGAAACAAAAGGTCAGCTCTAATATAATGTCAATAAATGCAGTAATAAAATATAATAAAAGTACATACCACATATTTTGACCATGCAGGCTCTTCTGCCTATAATTAGCATCTGAAAAAAAGAAGTAAAGTTAAGTAGGTTTTAAATACTTCCTTCAATTTTCCACTAAGAGAGGGGAGACAGGAGTGGGTAAAGGACAATGCTGAGGAGTAAGACAGAGTCTCTGATCTGCTAAGAGGGGCAAGGAATGGCAACATTTTCCCTATATGGGAAGTTGAAGAGGAAAGAAATTTATAACTCTAAGACTATTCTACCTCATTATGTAAGAAAATTCTGTCTGGAAGGCTTTTGTTCCCATTGTTGCCATCAAGCAGTAAATGAAGATCATAACCATAATAAATGTAGTTGCCTCTCTTCAATTCAGTTTGATATCCCTTAGCTTGTTTGGGGGTAGGTATGACAGTTTTTTGAGAAACTGCTATAGGTGGAAAACCAAGTAACAGTAAAATAAATTAAAAGTATTTGTGTTCTTAGTCACCTTCATTGATCATTTTACCATTCTAACTCAATTTGCCTTTT